ATATCTAGCTTGTCATACATCACGTTACCACCAAGTGGCGCAGAACCTGCCAGTCTATATGACTGTTTATTTCCCAACACACCGGCATGACCTGGAGAAAATATCCAAATGATGCTAACTACCCGGGACCTTTGAATTGATGCTTGCCACTCTGCACGGAGCATACCTGTCTCCACCTTTCTCAACATGCTCTTTGATTCAGTTACATTCACAGCATTGAGCTACTTGTCCTTTAGGATTATCTAATCATTTTGGCAACTCATCAATGTGTCGTGTGTGATTATTTTCTAGACAGTGTAAAAATATTATTTCTGAAGAAAGAGCTCATAAAATAATTATAATAATGATGGTGATATTGATGGTGGCTCTGTATTTCGCAGCAACAAGTACAGTATCAGGTATATCTCGTGACAGAGTAGAACCCAGCATGGACGCCGTCTTGAAAATGTCACCTACTTTATTCGCCGAACAACTTACTTTCAAAGACGCAGTAAGTACGCGAATTAAAAAGTTAGTTGCGTTTCTTTACAGGACATTGCAGAACTAATCCCCTTATTTTTTGGGAGCTGTTGTGGTTTTTCATAAGCACATTTTATGTTCAGTAGTTAGCCATTGCTTCCTAAACGGTCAGCTGTGGGTACCACTGCCGAAACCAATGTAAGATAAACCGTCCGCAGCTGGGATCAAACCTAGCACCCCGGCAGAACGGTAAGGACTGGAATTTTTTTTAAGTGGACTTGGACTTCAAGTAATGTTCCCTGGTCTCTGCAGAATAGTGAGATCGGATGCCCGGGTGCTTTGCTGCGCACGTAAAAAATCACTTCGTAGTTGGAAATCGAAAAAAGTAGCCGAACGGCGCTGCCCGGGCAAAATTTTGAGTTAAAAATCTACCCAAAGTATTTTCAGGATCCGTGCTACAGATTGTGTGCACTGTGCTGAGCTTTTTGACTCAGACTTGAGTTAGAAGAAAAACGGAGCACTTATGGGTTACAACCCGTGTGCCATGATGTTAATCCGTTGTTTAAACAAACACTTCGTACCAGGCGACAGGGGCGTGATCTGCTATGTCTGCATGTTTAACAGGGTACATTTTTAAGAGGGGATAGAAGAAAAAGAGAAGATATTTAAAAGTAGAGAGAGAGACAGACGAGAAGAAATAATAGTTAAAAGAAGTATAAGAGGACAATAGGTTCTCCTATGTGGAGAGTGTAGTACTAAGTTTACACCCAAAACGATCAGGTTTTAGTCAGTGGGGGTTTGAAAGAGAGTAGAAGAGTAAAGTGGTGGTGGTATGAAGACTACAGCAACTAACAATTATAGTACCACTCCTGTACTCAACAATCTAACGACTGAATAAAAGAATAACAACTAACAATCACGTTTATTAAGAAACATAATTACAAAATCGTATTTCTCATATAACACAACCAAAATGACCTTGATGCAAAAGATGTTACACTAAGTTATAAACAGCACGTCCTCACACTATAAAACGCAGCAACTGACAGCAGAATCTACTCTACTCACCGATAAACTAGCGACGCCTAGAATCTCCTTCATTGCTCTACAAATAATAAGCCAAATAACCACTACAATCTAGCCATCTACTCTATTTCCAAATACTGACTACCATCTAACTATACTGCCGATTGCAGTATAGAGAGCATCTATTCTATTGCCAAAGCCAGTACAATCATGACACAAACTGCCGTGTCACATAACATCCATAAATGTTTCATGCATCATCTGATAAGTTCTACAACAGAAGTATGGACTCAGCTCCATCGTATCGACATCATCCGAAAATGGGTTTATTTGCACACAGCCACTCTTCGTTGGCGGCGGTCTCAGCACAAGTGTCTCCCTGGCTACTCGCTGACAGTGTATATACTCCTGACGCTACTAGGTTCTTTCTCCTTTGTGCCTGAGTTCATGAAACTGTGTCTTCTTAGGTTCATTAACCTTTCTCTTTCCCGCCAAAGAAGGGTTTCCAAGCCACTTTGCATTATTGGATGGAAACACCCCAGGAAATCTTGTGTCGTTGCCTTTGTTCGTTGTCCTGCCTCTGTTAATTTATGACTGGGATCCAATCGTAGTTAGCATTTCTAGGTAAGTTTTATCTCTACGTTAGCCCGCAAGTGTCTAGGTAATTGACTTCAGATCACATACCCTCTTGTAAGCGTTTAACAGAAACTTTAAGTTCATTGACCCTTGTCTAAACTTATCCTTGTATGGCTGAGTTTACTCTGCCACACATGGAGCGACGCTAGAACTGTGTTTTGGCGAGTATGAAGCGTAATAATATTAATTGCATGTAAGCCAACGTAAGGACATGTATCACGTTGCTTCATACCATTTTGTGTGTACGGGTTGGTAGACTCGAATATTATTGTAATTACATGTATGACGGAAAACCATTGTTGAGTTTTCCTGACAGTATGCTCTTGCGTTATGTACAGTTTGAAGTTCGAGCGCAAGTCACATCCTAGACACTTAGTTATGTGTCCGTGTGCTGGCACCCCATTTTACCACACGACAGTTACTACCCTTGTGTCATGATGTCGATCCGTCGTCTAAACTTAAACCTAGTATATTAAACAGAGTATATTAAAAGATGCCTACAATAAAGTACCATACGATTATTTAATGCAATTACTGCTTAAACTAGAAGTTAATCCTATTCTGATCCGCTGGATTGCTGCGGTCCTGTTCCAGAGAAAGATTGTACTAAGATGTGGTAGCTGGTCCTCAGAACCGCAAACGATATGTCCAGGCTTGCCACAGGGATCACCGCTATCACCAGTCTTATTCAACGTTTATACGGTGATGATCACTGAGCAGCAGTTGAATGGAAAGGGGAGGACTTTGTCATTTGCTGATGACATTTTGATTTATCGACGAGGGCGTGATAGACAGGAGATTGCCAGCACTATGCACAAAGAACTCGATCGAATTGCCGCCTGGTGTGATGGTTCCAATGCCTATGTCAATCCTTCGAAGGCATCAGTGTCATGGTTCTCTTTGAACAATCACATTGTCAAGTCGGACTTACCAGAAGTGAAAATGCGTGATAATGTATTGATCAGAACCAACGTTATGACGTTTCTCGGGGTGAGGTTTGATCGCAGCTTGTCATTCAGGGAACACGTTGACCATGTGATAACAAAAGCACGCAAAGGTCTATCTGCAATGAGGATTATGGCTGCTTCCAACATTGAGCAAAGACTACTAATACTTCTATTCTACGGTCTGGTCCTTTCCCCCATTGAATACGCTCTGGCCATCCTCACTGTCAGTGCTACCCAGATTGAACGACTCGAAAAGGTGCAAAATGAAGCCATGTGCATTATTTTGGGATGTACTAGAGACACATCCTGTGGAGCAATGAGGTATCTACTTGACTTTCCAACAATGAACCAAAGGATCAGGATGTGGAGGGCTCGGGCATATCTCAAAATATGTGCTGATAAGAAACACCCACTGCATCAAGCGCTTTTTAGTGAAAAGGGCGACAGACTGAAGAGGGGGAAATCGTGGCTAGGTCGGGCAGAAGATGTTATTAGGCAAATATGCAGCCTAACCGACATCATACCTGGTTCAAAATGGATACCTGCGCCTCAGGCGTTTATTTGTACATTTTCCTGTATTGTCACACTCAACAGGCGATGTAGAGAAGAGAATCCTGTTGCTGTTAATGCAGAGGTCAACGCTCTCATCGGTGAAAATTCAGACGAAGCAGATGCAATAATCTATACAGACGGATCCGTTATACACCAAAGAAGAAGCGCATGGGCATTTACAGCACGCTCAGCGGGCAGAACAGTCAAAGAAGCCAACGGCGCCTTCTCCATGACAACCAGCAGCATGACGATGGAGGTGATGGCAGTGACACAAGCGCTTGCCTGGCTTGAAACACAAAAATACACCCGCGTGTGTATACTCAGTGATTCAATGAGTATGATCCGGAGGGTTCAGGCAGGTTCAGTGCGAAGACAATGGCTTGAATCATTACAGAAGTCCACTGTCCGTGGAGTCACCTTTATTTTTGTTCCGGGACACGCAGGCGTCGATGGAAATGAAAGAGCTGACAGGTTGGCTGGATCCGCTATCACTACCGACGGTCATCCTATGGATCATGCTGATATTATCAATGCCCTCAGAGAAATGGGAAGGATAGACGACTTTGGTGGCAGTGAATCCACATGACTCGCCAGAATGGCAGACTTGGGAATTAAGATCGGCACAGCAAAAAACGAGACGCACACCAGCTACGCCAGAAGACTTGTTAATCAACATAGAACTGGTATTATTAGCCATCGGACGTTGGGGTTCATACTGAGGGGAGGATCTGAGCACCTATGGACATGTCCGGAGTGCAATGAGGATAACCCAACTAACTAACTAACTAACTAATTAAACAGAGTAGAGGACCAAAGTTCTATAGTGGATTGTCTGCTAGGTGCTTTATTAATATCCTAACCCAAACAGGGGAAATCCACAGGTCACGGGACATTCTAATATTTCAGGGGGTGGTAGATAGGCTGCATGCAGTCGTGGGATCTATGCTGCATGCAGTCTTGGGATCTATGCTGCATGCAGTCGTGGGATCTATGCTGCATGCAGTCGTGGGATCTATGCTGCATGCAGTCGTGGGACCTAGTAGCTAAGCTTCTGAGATACAGGCGTTACCTGTTGAAGTTTTGGGCTGGGCTGCACTTTCTAGCTATTATACCAGGGGATACCTACGCTTCCATTGCTAGGGCTTGTGTAATGTCTCCAATGACTTATTCATGTATAATTCCCAGCATTTACTGATGAAGCTGGTACCCCACCATTGCTTCTGCTTCACTACGTGTAATTTCTCCAATGACTTGTTCATGTATAATTCCCAGCAGTTACTGATGAAGCTGGTACCCCACCATTGCTTGGGCTTCTACTGGGACAATGAGGATCACCCAGATGGCCTGCCGACTGTTCAAGCTGTTTTAAATCATTATAACGAGGTGTCCAATATTGTTATCTCTTCTGTGTTGATGCCAGATGCCAAAACCATACACCGGGCTAAGGTCATTGAACAGTGGATTCTGGTAGCACAGGTTAGATGCTAGCTTTTGTTTTTCATTAGTGTTGACTGGTGTTTTAATTAGTATGCGACCTTTGGGCGTATTGGGCATTTTCTCCTCCTTCTCGGCGTTCACCATATACAAACTCTTAGTGAACTCTCAGTAGATCAGTCGAAACTGGGGGGAGGGGGGGGGAAGAGAATTGGTGGGGGAAAAAAAAAGGGGGGGGGGTTTATGTGATCAGTCTCACACTCTGAAAGTCGCGTGTTGATTTCACGCACACATCTGAACTTTCTCTTATTCTTACCGTTCAGCGGCAGAAACTCCGAGGGACAGTTATGGTTGTTGCTCCATATTTCGGACTAGCTGTACCCGGCCACGCATTGCTGTGGCATAGTTTGGCTAAATGGAAAAAAAAAAAGAAAACAGAAATCGCACGTGTCTAGTACGGTTACTGTCGCAATCATTGTCTGCACACATACAGAGATAGTCTTCGCTGCCCTCCCCGCTCCCCCCTCCTTCCCAAATCCACCTACTACTCACTCCCTCATCAAAGGCGTTTGGAAAATAAAGACAACAGAAATCGCACGTGTCTAATATAGTTAATGTCGCAATAATTCTCTGCACAGAAATAGAGATAGTCTGCTTTGCCAATTTAGAACACGCAAAATATAATTCGTCTTTAAATTAGTGGTCGTTTAAATGGTATTATTAGCACAGTACAAAAAAATGGTTATTAGGTTATCACATGCTACAGCTGTTTGTATTTTGTGTGTGTGTGTGTGTGTGTGTATATGTGGGTAAGATACGGAAGTAAAGCTTACTACTGTACTTGTAAATAACCAAGTAAGTCGTTAAAAAAATGAGAATAGCGGAGGTAGCGTTAGTAAAATATGAGAGGTAGCGTTAGTAAAATATAAACAAATTAGGAAATGAAAACTTAAAAAGCATGCGTTAAGCTCTTTAAGTTAACCATTTCTGCCATCACCCCCTTCCCTCCCCCATTCACCGAATACTGCTCTCTCCCTCATCGAAGGATTTGAAAGTCATCACCCGACGATATTTCAACGCAATGTCAGAAGAAAAAGTAAAATCGAAATGAAAATAAATGGAAATCTATGAAAAGTCAGCGTAACCATGCAATCGGAAAGTTTTAAAAGAAATCATAAGTATGCTAAATAGTCAAATGTAATTATCGACTTGTTTACCCACATTTTTTTTTTTTTTTTTTTTTTTAGTATTTATGGCCACATGGCTAGAGCTGTCGCCGCGACAGAGCAGGTCTGGGTTTTATTTTGCCCCCGGGTAAAAAAAAAACGAACCTGCCGTACTAGGGATTCGAACCCTAGTCTCCCGCACGGGAACCCAGTGTACTAACAATTCGGCCAGCCAACCACAGCTTCTGAACAACGAAAAGATAACAAAACCACTCAAGGTGTAATACACAACTCAAAACCGCAGGCAATTGTTTTTTGTTTTTTTTCATTAACAGATATCCCAGATATAAACTTCAAGTCAAGTATTATTAAAACGGCTTAAATAATAAAAATCGTACGTGTCTAACACGGTAAATGTCGCAATCATTGTCTGCGCAGACATAGATCGCTCCCCCCCCCCCCCCCCCTCTTCTCAAATCCACCGACTACTCTGTAACTCATCAAAGGTTGTTTGAAAAGAAAGAAAATAGAAATCTTGTCTAATATGGTTAACGTCGCAATCAGTGATATAGAGATAGTCTGGTTTGCTGTACTGGCGGATGTTAAAAATGGAGCGTCCCGTTTCTACTGAGCATGTACTATGAAAGTCGATCTCTTATGCGCATTTACTAACGTGGCTATAAATCAATGTCACTAAAAATGGAAATATTAGTTTCAAAGATTTTCCCAACAAATGCGGTCACCTATCTCTAACAAAGGTAGGTAGAATTTCAAACAAGACGGCATAATTCCGGTATCAAAAGAAACATATCCTGAAAATTGCATCTAAATCGATTCAGTAGTTTCCGAGTCTTTCGCTCATAAACAAACACACAAACATTGATTTTTATATATATAGATTTGGTGTTGTTCCAGAACTTGAGTTTTAAGTGTACACCTGTTTTACAGATCAGGCTAGCTTATATGCAGACTAATGGTTTCTCGCATGTCAAACAGATACCGTCTCACTTCGAAGGAGACCCCAGAGCCGTGTTAGCAGCATTATGGGCCCTTGGGCAAACCAGTATGCTGGGACCCGTGCGACAAGTACTGCGGGTCACTTGACATACACAGATAAACATAAATCTCGTATGCTCCTGGGGGTCGAGGCATGTGGCAGGAGAATCATACGTTAAGACAGCACTGAGAAATACTCCTAATTTCTATAATTTTACGACATGCTCGTAAAGGTGGCAGCAGGTCTATTCTACCATAACCTTCCTCTGCAAGATGTTGCTCGGGAACTAATAAACAAGAAAAATCGGCTACCATTGTGAAATTAGTAAAGAAGGCATGTAGATACTTAAAATTGCAGTAACCTTCCCTAGCCAACCTTCGAAAATATTGTATTTTTTGTCTGAGAACAGCTGCGTTAACGCATCGTTAGCCCGACCTGGTGACGTCAGCAGAATGGTCCGTAAGCTGGAGCCGGTCGTGGATAAGTCGAACGGCTGAATAATGACAGGGAGACCGAAGGTGATGCAAAAATTATCAGGGTAGAATGTATTAGTCCAACACCTGGATGATAACAATATATATATTCTAAATAAACATCTAGCCAGATATTTTTTTCTTGGGAAATTTATAGGCTCCATTTTAGGCTGATTTGACCTGGGGGGGGGGGGGGGGGTGGTTGGTGTGGAGGGGTAAGTCGCATGTGCTTTACAGGATGCTGCAAAACCAGACCAATAAATTTTTTTGACAGGCGGTCTGCTGCTAAATCGCCTGCAGCTGGAATCGAACCCGGCACCCTGTCAATACGAAACGCGTTAGCAACGTCTAGGCCATCGGCGACCTCTGAGCTGGAATCACAAGTCATGTATTAAACAAAATGGACCCGATGCGGGTTCAAACCACATTTATTGTAGGCATACAGTTATCTCAGTAGTATGTTTTCAGATTCTGCGGAGACTGAACAATTTTTCCTCGCTGAATGCAGTCATCAAAGCACTGCAGTCAACATCAGTGTCTAGACTGAGCAAATCATGGGCGGCTGTATCCAAGTGAGTCATTTTACTTGAGTCATTTTACTTGAGTCATATTACTTATGCGGACCTTCTTCTTATAGTTCGTCTCATGTGATGTTGGTCATGCTATTTATTCACAGCCTGCTGTCCTATGCACTGCCAATATGTATAATACAGATTATCATCATAATATTTCGATACAGATCATCATCATCAAGAATTTTGCCGACCTTTGTATGTGATTTTGCCTCTTAATGACGCAAAATAGCGTACAGAAACGACGTGGGTTTGGACTCAGTACTATCCAGGAGAACGTGACAGGAGTGAGACATGATTTATAAAGCCTTCACGTCCTTGGTTTCGGAAAGAGGTTACCCATGAGCTCTCAGGTCAACTGCGTACTGTTGTATTGACAAGATTTACCTGTCACAGCCCTACAAGACTAGCCACATGCCGGTACAGCAAACACAAAGGTCCTTGGCATTATCTTTACTGTCAAGGACCTTGTATCTATACTACTTAACTACGGCTCGCTGTACGGCCCCCTGACAGGACACTATTCCAGAACACACTTAAAACACACACCTATTGAGTACACACATAATCTTTAATGCACAAAGAGACTTTAAACCTAAAGCAACCTCAACAGTTATAGAAAGTCCCCATCCGAAACGTCGGCAGTGGCAGCATTTATATTTACTTATCCACCCCGAGCCGTTCCCATGGATGTACCAGAGGACTCGATTCCACCTCCTGTCGTACAGCGCTAACTAGGCTGCGGTCCTCGCCATGCGAGACTCAGTGGCACACGCAGGGTGAGTGGTTCAAGTATTAGCGGGCAGTGTCAAAGCCAGCACAAAACGCAGCTAAACTCTAATAACCCATAGTCAAGAACAACTATTCACGCACGACACAACACCAACACAACTGTCTTAGCATACTATAATCACACGAGGAATACCAACAGCTAACCAACACATATGACGACAACGCAAACAGACCCTATCTTTCAACTCCTAACACAATACAATCTATCGCGTCTGTATATGTCTTCAGCCTCACACGTCCATCTCCAACGCTCTCCATCTGTTCCCCGTTCAACTCCTATGTGGCCTTTTCAATGGGTTGAAATGAATTCTGTCCGTATTCCATAGTTGTGGATTTCAAGCTGTACGATAGACATGGCCAATAAGACACCTTTTTTTTTGGGGGGGGGGGGTGCCTAGTTGACCATGTATCTTAGTGCATTTGTATTCATGGCGAGGCGCAGACGCCGTCTGGAGGTGACATGTTCAATTCCCGGCACGGTAACTATAGCTTTCGATTTTTATGTTGTCTAGTGCGTTCTTCTATCTTTCTACTTCTTTCTATGAGTGCCGATCACAATACTTTCTGTTACTTGATAATTCATAATATTTAACGGCCTCAAATCGTTCCCCCTCTGTTTATTTATAGGAATGACGTATACACACCGTAACCTACCAATCAAATACCTTTCTTAAATGTTTGTGTATTATAGACAAAGCAATAAGGTTTACTGTGTTCGTAAATTGTTGCTGTGATTGTTATTCGACATTTGCTTCGTTGATATAAATTTCTGAAACCTATGGTGCCATTTCAATGGATAGAAATGAATTCTGTCCATATTCGATAGTTGTGGATTTCAAGCTGTACGATAGACATGGCCAATAAGACTAATTTTTTAGGGGTGCCTAGTTGACCATGTATCTTAGTACATTTGTAATAATGGCGAGGCGCAGACGCCGCCTGGAGGTGACAGGTTCAATTCCCGGCACGGTAACTATAGCTTTCGATTTTTATGTTGTCTGGTGCGTTATTCTATCTTTCTACTTCTTTCTATGAGTGCCGATCACAATACTTTCTGTTACTTGATTAATTCAACTTCGGGTAAAACGTGTTTGTACTGGTGTTTAAGTTAAAATGGGGTTTCCCCATATCGTCAATTCAGCTGGCTGACCGCTGGTGCACGTTTTG